CGCGCATCTGTGAAGGTCCGGGTTAGAATGAACTTTTAGTAACCCATGCCTGTCGTCAGAGGCGACTCACGGGATCGGATGGTCAGTCTCGCCGACTTGGTTGACACATGTCATCGGTTTCCCAATTGCGCAGATCGATGTTCATGGTGTTGATCACTGGATCGTCTGGTCCAGACTCGATTATTTACAGACTGCCGCCACATAGCTGGAATATTGCTGAGTGCGGCGTAAAACTAAACTCACTCACTCACTCACTACAGACCGTTGCAATATAGCTGGAATATTGCTGAGTGCGGCGTAAAATTAAATTCACTCACCACGGACTAACATATCAGTAGATTACAGTCAGGAAAGCAGTCTATTTTAACCTGACTTGACGTCATCACCAGAGAGTAACCAATCACGGACCAGGAAATCGACTTGAAAATTATATTTTATACCAGTTATCACACTGGGGTTTCTCACCCATAGGTGTTTGACAAGAATCTAGTGTCATAAATGAACATATTTTACAGAAATAACGGTCCCTAAAGTTTATAATAAAATATATTTCAAAGGAGTCCAGACACGTTCTTTAAATTTCTGAAACTATGGTAACCTACACTTGCTCCATAATTTAGACTTCATCGGCTTTCTTGGATATACTTGTTTCAGGATCTGTATGATAGGCTACGATAGGTGTGTAAGACATACAGTGGTGGAATGAACTTGTTAATGTAGATTGGTTATACGTTCATATAAACAGGTTGATCAAAGTTTTGAACAGGATCAAGATTTCAGGCCAAGTTTATTGGTATGGAAGGAAGTTGAGGCAGGCAAATATCATCACGAACTCACTCACAGTTAGATTTTTCTCAACAGGTGGAAACGTTGACCTTTTCGAGTTCACATTTTCTTTTCTCATCGCTATCCACTCAATTTAAAACACATTGCCGTCACTTCAACTAATTACCTAACTCAAAAGAAAAAGCCCATTATCGATTTTAGCCAATACGTAATGTAATTGACAATTCTTAATACAGTGTAAAACTTTGTTGGAACATTCTTTACGAAAAAACACAATAGGTTTGGACCAAAGAGTAAAACACTTACGAGAAGCCCTCTTTTAGGAATGTCAACAACATCCGCAGAGCAACCATTATTTAACAAAGAATGTAGCCACATTGTTTCGTAAGGTTTTAGAAAATGTTCTTGTCTTCAAACCAAACCCAACAACCGTTAATGAATAAGTAACGCTGAAAGACCCGGCTAATGAGTACAGGTGTTCTGACAGCCTTTATGTTTTTTAGTTCACGTGACCTTTCTCATCTGTATATGGTTATATTGCATAATCTGCTATTTCATGGGGGAGAGAAACAAAATGAAAAATAAGTATATTTAGCATTATATATGTATTATTCTAGACGTTTCTCAATCACCTGCAGCCCATGATCGGGTGGTCAGGCTCGCTGACTTGGTTGACACATGCCATCGATCCCAATTGTGTAGATTGATGCTCATACTGCTGATCACTGGATTGTCTGGTCCAGACTCGATTATTTTCAGACCACTGGAATATTGCTGAGTGCGGCGTTAAACAACAAACAAACAAAACAATCACCTGTAAATGACCTACATTGGGTGTGGTGTGATGGTGACCTGTCGCCATGTTGAGACGACCGTATATACCCAAGTCCTACCATTCCCTACCCCGAAGTAACGCGTAGATACCGCTCAGAATACTCATGATGTTTACAACGTCAACCGAGACAGGTTTCCCACGTAAACAAACTTAAGTAATCATTTGTCTAAGTACTAATTGCTTTCGCCAGTCTTCATCTGATTCGCTGCGACACCACAAAGCGGACATTCAAGACATATCGACGTGTATAAGACGCACCCGTGAAGTACTGACAATGTATAGCAATCAACTAATGCACCAGTCTATCTCATGGTATTCTGAATCCACAGTATCGATCGTATGCCGATTACCCAGATCTCTCCATCGAGCGTCTTTCTTAAATTTTGAAAGGTTGGGCTACTGGTTTTAATGCCATGATGAATTTAAGACTCGTATTAATGTGTTGAGTGTTAATGATTTACAGCATATCGAGGCCAGATCAGCTGTCTCATGAACCTGTTGGCGTCGAGGTATGACTTTCTAACTCCTATGTGGTCTAGCCTTTGTTGCTGGTGATCTCTTGAGCAGGTAAACGACTAACAGAATTATTATAACTGAGTCAAAAAAGAAACTTCACAAAATGTAATTTGAAAAATAATGAATAATTTTTCTCTGATGATACATCTATGTATCCGAAATGGGATCCCTATCTTTCGACTCTAGAAAAACGTTAGCAAAACCCACTCAAACCCATCCATTCGTCGTGCAAATGACGTTAGTGCCAAATCAGGTTTTGCACGTGCAGTCGATCACGTGATCTTCGCATCGAAGTTTTCTTCATATGCACGTGTTTGCATTGGCCTCAAGAATTGAAAAAACACTTTGAAACCACAGTTCTAACGGTACTTGAAATGCCACGATTGTCAAATGTGCAACGTGAACGTGCCGTTGGCATGTTGCAAGCGGGAAGATCAGATATTGACGTCGCAAGAGCAATGGGATGCAGCCGTCGTACTGTGTATGACTTGCCAGGTCGTCTACAACAAACTGGCACCACTTCTGATCGCCCAAGGTCGGGTCGTCCACGTGTGACGTCACGAGCAGAAGACCGTCATATCGTTCTACGTCATCTACGTGACAGATTTCTGCCGGCTACACGAACCAGGGCTGAGATGTTTAGAGGTCGACTGTCCTCACAGACCATTCGAAATCGGTTGCGGGATGCCAATCTCCATTCTTGACGTCCATATCGTGGGCCAATATTGACGCCGTTTCATCAACGTCAACGTCTGCTGTGGGCCCAACGTCACCTCCGATGGACCCAGAGAGACTGGAATCGAGTCGTCTTTAGCGATGAATCCAGGTTTACCCTCAGATTCACGGACGGCAGGCATAGAGTCTGGAGACGACGTCGTGAACGGTATGCCCAATGTTGTGTACTGGAAGTCGACAGATTCGGGGGCGGAAGTTGCATGGTGTGGGGCGCTTTCTGTGGGAACAACCGTTCCCGACTTTTGGTCATCCGTGGAAACCTCACAGCTGCTGCTTACCGCGACCAGGTGCTCACCCCTGAACTCGTTCCTTTCATGGTGGCTCATGGCCCAGGTCTACAGTTCCAGCATGATAATGCTCGGCCGCATACCGCGATGTTGACACGACATTTCCTTCAAAACGCTGGAATCAACGTCATGGACTGGCCATCGAGGTCCCCTGACCTTAATCCAATAGAGCACGTTTGGGATGCACTTGGGAGAAGGCTTCGTGGTCTTAGGAACCAACCTCAGAATTTGCAGGAACTTGGCGCTGCCTTGCAAGAGCAATGGCGCAGAATCCCCAACCACATGTTCACAAGCATCAGGCAGTCGATGAGGAGACGGTGTTTGGCAGTGGTGAATGCGCGGGGTGGCCATACACGATATTGAACTGAGAAATTTCGCATTTTTATTCTTGTGACTTGACATTCTGTATACCCATGTTTTGGAACGGCGGTGTAGCCTAATGGAACTGATTATGGCACTGTCAGTGTATCGAGTACATCACACAGATCTCAGCAATGAAATAATAACAATTTAACCATCTCACCATCTCTTGTTCTTTTATAGTGCCCTGAAGAAAGAATGTGAAGTTTCTTTTTTGACTCAGTATATATTGATGCAGAAAATGCTCGTGTTTTGAGCAACTATATTGCCATGATTCGCCACAGGCCTTTTCGGGTTAGATTTGTTCTTCAGCAACTTATTTGTAGTGAAAGGTGGCTGTGCTTGTCGTAAGAGTCGATAACGTGATCGGGTGGTCAGACTTGACCCATGTCAGCGTCTGTCAAATGTCTAGATGCTCATATCTTTCACTGGTCTGTCTGTTCAAATATTTAAAGATCATCGTCATATTGTTGGAATAGTCCTAAATACGGGCAATATACAACAAGCAAACCTTACAAGCCATCGTCTTGTAGCTCCATTATGGCTGACTATACCACAAAACTACATAGATGTTCACGCAGCCGCAGTTGGATGGACGCTTTGTTGTTTAACGCCGCACCCCAGATCCCCATCCTCCGAGTCATTCAAACCGTGATCATCACGGAGCCTCATCAGTAGCCTTCCTCATCAAGGAATAAACGTCGAATCTCAAAATGGTCTGTTACATCAACACTGTGGTATGACTTGAATGGTTCGACTGTTCAAACCCACTGACAAAATGTATGGGTGGCATCGTATCCCAGTTATGTAGATCAACACTCATTGTGTTTATTGCTTGTTTTTTTGGTGCAGATCGGACTTCTTACAGCCGGCATATAGCTGGAATATTGCAAATAAAAAAACCCAAAATTTAATCAATTAAAATAAAACTTAAATTAAATAAAATTAAATGAATAGTAAATATAACTAAAATAGAAAAAAAATCAGATAATAAATAAGTGAATAAATAAATATATAATGAACAAATGAATGATTGAGTGAATGAATGAATGAGTGTGTAAATGAATGTATGAACGAGTGAATACAACAAACATACAAGATATCAAGCACGTAGAGTGCATCGAAATGTTTCACCTTAAATATAACTATAAGCATTAATTGGGAGGCAGAGATTGTATGTAGAATCTTATGTCCAAGTTGTTCAGCCTTATTGAATTACAATAAACAAACCTTACTAAGTAATAAAAGAACAAAGTAAACACAATATGACAGCTGCAATATGATATGAGCCTTATCAAGTATAACAACGGAAACATACTGATTTGACTGTTCATTAAGCATTTGATCAATCATGTGATTAATGACAACATATATATTTATAAAAGAAACACATTGTAACTGAATGTTTTATGAAATGCTAAACAATTCATATCGTAGTTGTGTTCCTGTGCTTTGCTATTAGCTTCGGCGTGATTTTCATAACACACAGCATTAAACCGGAAATGAAAATACAATGCATGATGGTATTGGTCAATGAATATTGACAACGTCGATCGTGAAACGGCGTGCTTGTATTTGCTGGAATCAACCCTTTTGCTGGATATTCCTAAGTGTTGAGAAGTTAATATGGTTTCTGAAAAAGGCGAACATAGATGGTACAAATTATCAGAAGATACCGGACTTATCAAAGGTAAGTAAGCCTAAGCATTCCCTTCTACTACTACAACTACTACTACTACTACTACTACTACTACTACTACTACTACTTCTACTACTACTACTACTACTACTACTACTACTACTACTACTACTACTGACCCGTGAAGGTCCGGGTTAGACTGAACCATCAGTAACCCATGCTTGTCGTAAGAGACGACTAACGGGATCGGGTGGTCAGGCTCGCCAGCTTGGTTGACATATTTCATCAGTTACCAATTGCGCAGACTGGTCCAGACTCGATTATTTACAGACCGCCGCCCTATAGCTGGAATATTGCTGAGTGCAGCGTAAAACTAAACTCACTCACTCACTACTACTACTACTACTACTGGCGGTGGTAGTAGTAATAGTATTAGTAGTAGTAGTAGTCAACCATGTAACCGCGGCGATAGGATTTTTCAAGTATTTTTATTTAAAATATATTTTAATCGCGAAAACAGTTTAACATCCATTTCTAAAACGACATCAGGAACATCTTTTACTGCTTCAGAATCCATGGTCACTGTCAAATTGTGCAGTAAAATCAAAGAGGAAGCCATCAGCGAAAGGCACATATGACGTCATGTCACGTGATACCTGCTTCTGTTCATTAACTGTCGGGTGTTTCCGTAATAGGCGGAAATACGAGTACTTTTTACGTGTTTATTGCGATTTTTCAAGGTTTTTGTTTTAATCTGGAAGGTGACTTTTAGAATGCTTTTACCCCTATGAAAAACATTTGGCTTAAGTATTCTCCTTTAAGCCCAGTATATGTTATGAGATATTTACTCAGTCCTGAATCATTCACGTGATGTTCAAAATGTATGTGGATGATTAACAATAAAAAGTTGGTTTTTTCAATTATCATTGAAGGTGAAAAACCGAACACATCGAGAAACATCACCTTCCGGGTGTACTGCAGCCACTTCCTGTCCACGTGGGTGAGTTGAAACACGACATCAATATGAAACGGAAGCGACGCGGAAAGTGATGAAAATGTGATTGGTTAAAAATATTGTCTCCTTGAAATGTAAAATTCCATGAAAATGACTAATTCAGGTGTCAATTGGTTGTTTGGTTCCTACACCTGCGATCAGCTCCAGATGTTTTCTGAACAGAACGTCTGATCGAGACAGAAATGAAGCATGCAACTTTATGGATCAAACAATTAGTCAGATCGAGAGCGAAAAGACGGTGGTTCTTTTGATAAGTAATCAATGTTATGGATTTAACTAAAGTCTTGTTTATAGCAAGAGATGAGACGTTTTGGTGTAGATGCTGACTCCTTTATAAAACAAGTGACCGCTAGCATCTACACTTAACTGACTGACTGTGTTTGGTTTTACGCCGCTTTTAGCAATATTCCAGAAATATCACGGCGGGGGACACCAGATATGGGCTTCACACATTGTACCCATGTGGGGATTCGAACCCGGGTCTTCGGCGTGACGAGCCAACGCTTTAACCACTAGGCTACCCCACCGCCCCCATCTACACTTAAACGTCGCATATATTGCAATAAATAAGTTGTCAATCCTTAAAATGTGCTCCTCTTTATCCTGCCAGCTCCCAAATGGCACTTAGGAAACATGGTATTTGTTATTACTTTGCCTGTCGTTCAACATTAAGGGAATATAACAAAGACTGATTGGCTCAGAATCACTATAATGTATCCATGTTACACTTCGGCACAGTTTCTCGGCGAGCTCGCACTAAAAAACATTGTACACCTCGTCATGTGAGTGCAATAATCTTGAGCCCCTGTTAAACCCCATTCCACCTCACCTTGAGCGGTGGGGTAGCCTTGTGGTTAAAGCGTCCACTCGTCACGCTGAAGACCGGGTTCGATTCCCCACATGGGTAGAATGTGTGAAGCCCATTTCTGGTGTCCCCTGATGTGATATTGCTGGAATATTGCTAAAAGCGGCGTAAAACTTGACTCACTCACTCACCTCACCTGTTGGAAGTGTCTTATCGGGTCTCCATAACAAACTGAGGCATAGTAACTTAGTTGGCTTGCACGATAAACAGGAATTAGTCAGGACTGGTACGAGCAACTCACATCTTCATGTCCTACACTACCGTGTAAGTGTAACAAACTTGAAGAAGACGTTTTAAAACAAAGCTTATAATCACATTCACACATGAATACATTTAGTAACTTAAATGACGATTTCTAAATGACCACACTTTTTGTGGAATGTGGCGACATGAATACATTTTCGGGTTGTGATACTCAAACCTGAAAACACATAATGCAAAATTACCATATTTTATAAAATGACACAAAATTCTATGAAATAAATTGAGTTTTTTTTACAATACTTGGAATCCCATACCCGCAAACCTGCCTTGACTTCAGGAATATTACGTTGACACTGGTGTAACTCAAAATGTCTAAGGACATCTTCTGACTTCTAAAATATTTGTCCCCCGCCGTGATATTGCTGGAATATTGCTAAAAACGGCGTAAAACTAAACTCACTCTTAAATATTCATTGATGTAGGGGGATCAGATGTGGTGTTTTGGCGTCGGCCTGTTCCTCATCGAGCTGTCACCGACGTCGCTGCTCCTCACTGCCGTCAATGGGCTGGCAACGGGGGTGACTATTCTCCTGGCGGGGGCTCTGGTGGGCGCCTGGGTGGACCGCACCCACAGACTAACAGGTAGATCCAAAGTCTAGTAAGCATGGACTAACGGGTTTTATTGTCTAGAGGACATAGGTTAGCAGATAACCACAACGTCTAGTGGATGTGTGTGTGTGTGTGTGTGTGTGTGTGAGATATATCATCAGTTTTGTACACATGTACAAGGGGGTGGTCATTGATTTTTTACATGACATGCAGGTGGGTCCCTTTCTTGTACATAAATCTGTACATGCTTCTCCATTAAAATTATCATTACCCCACCCCCCTTAGCTATACATAATGAACGGTCTCTAAAGGGGGTTATTTTGTGTGATGGTCATCATTTTCAGTAACTGAAATTTCATCAACATTATTATGTATACTGACACAATCGTTATTGATATTTTCGCCGAGACAATCTCAATCGTCGTTTAATCCTCAAATTAAAGATGACTGTAGATACGACCGAGGCATCCCAGTCTCAAGTCGCACTTCACATTGATCCAAGGTGTGCACTGTTTGTTCGAACTCAACATTTTACTTATTTACAGAATGAGATTTATTATATAAAACATCGATTTTTCGGTATTAGTTTTTCCCATGAAATAAACACGTCGGTAATGATACAATGTTATCTATTGTAGCAGCGCAAGTATCCTTGGCCTTACAGAACACATTTGTGGCACTTTGCGCATGCGCACTGTGCATACATCTCTCGTGCCATGAACTTATCGTTTCTCTGTGGAACGGCAGGCTGCTGACGCTCTCCTACGCCTCAATCATATTCTTCGCTGTTTTGGCTGACCTGAGCAGTGCTGCCCGGATTCTCATTATTGAAAGAGACTGGGTTGTAGAAATATGCGGAGACGACAACAACAGGCTTGCAGGTGAAGAAAACCGGATGTTGTTTTCCGGACAAATCCAAACATTGTTTATCATCTTGAAAAAAGCTTGTCCACGTGAACAAGATTGATCATTAAAAGTTGAATAGTGTTCCGGCAACTAGGTGTAAATGGGCCTAGTTGCCCGAACACCTAGTAAACTTTTAATGATCAGTCTTGTTCACGTAACCCGCGTATTTTTCACGTTATGGAAGTTCCCCACTGATTTCTAAGGTTATCATCATCGGTGTAAAGACTCCCGAGTATGATACACGGTCCCCGAGCATCTCCCTTTATCCCTTAAGAAAATCACTCCCTTTATCCACTTCGACGTAAAATGACATTATCCGGTACAGTTCACTGGTCTCTTCGACAGTTTTTCGGAATTGTCGATGAACAGAAATAACAATGCTGAATTGTTCACTCTTTTTTTAAATATTCTTTTAAAAAATATGAAATAGTAGGGGCGTTGGAGTAGCCTGGTGGTTAAAGCGCCCACTTGTTGGATTCCCTACATGGGTACAATGTGTGAACCCGTGAAGATCCGGGTTAGAATTTGTCTTCAGTAACCCACGTGTGGTCAGGCTCGCTGACATATGCATGGCAGACACATGTCATCGGTTCCCAGTTGCGTAGGTCGATGGTTATGATGTTGAGTCTGGTCAAGACTGGATCATTTACAGACCGCCGCCATATAGCTGGAATATTGCTGAGTGCTCACTCGCAATATGTGAAGCCCATTTCTGGTGTCCCCCGCCAAGATATTGTTGGAATATTGCTAAAAAGCAGCGTAAGAGCATATTCGGTCGCTATAAAGTAGGAAGAAAGAAACCTACATTTTTTTCTGGACAAATATTATTGTAAACCCCACTTCAACATTATCTCGTTTGTTGGCCTCCAGATATGACCGCTACGCTGCGGAGGATGGACCTGGCCGCCCAGATCCTCGCCCCCATTGCTTCGGGGGAGATTGTGTACTTCTTCAAGGTCAGGAACGGGGCTTTAATCATGGCAGCCTGGAACGTAGTCTCGATGTTCATCGAGTACTATCTTCTGTGGAAGGTCTACAATCAGGTTCCAGCTTTACAGAAGGAGAAATACTGGCAAAAAGGTAAGGATGCATTTTACCGGGTCTCTTACTTACCTTACTTCTACAAAATGGGTGTGTGACGGGTGCTGCAGTCATTGCAAGACATGCTTACCCTTTTCGCGAACACACGATGTCTCCACTGAAATCCTTTTGTTCAATTTTTACCGTTTTTGAAAATGATATACTCTTGGAATGTATTACACTCCAGGTCGTGTACACATTACCTCTACCTTTCGCGTGCTACATATTTACGAAAGTTGGATTCAAACACATCTCTGATTTGTGTGATTTCTGCCTAGTGCTTTGAATGTCAAAGTGAAGAAAATCAGTCAAACGCTGGTAACTACGTCCAGACAATCCAGTGATTAACATCATGAGCATCGATCTACGCGATTGAGATACGATGACATGTGTCATCCAAGGAGTGAGCTTGACCACCAAATCCTGATGTCACGCGAATCAAAGGAAGACCAAATTTAATCCGAATCTTCACGGGTACTTTATTGGTAAAATAACATTACGCAGCTTCTTATGAAAACAAAAATGAATATTGAAACTGTTTTCTCATTTTCCTACTTTAGATGATACAACTGACAAGTCCAGTCACAAACCATCACTGGATGCTCTCAAAACAGGAGAGAAATTCAAAACCTGTGCTGGGAAGAACAGTGAGTATATAGCGCTGACAGAATCGGGATACCCAGTAACAACTACCCTCATTGAAAACAAGGAACAGGGAACCGTCAACGAAACCAAGAACAACACAAAGCAAGGAACCAGCTGTGGGTGTTTCCGGATCTTATGCTCGCCCGTCGTCATAATCTACACTGGCTGGAAGACGTTCATGCAGTACGACGTTGCCAACGCCGGTCTTGGTCTAGCGATGATGTACCTGACGGTCTTGGGGTTTGACAGCGTCACCAGTGGCTATGCGTTTACCCAAGGAATATCTGAAGGACTGCTTGGTCTTGCAATGGGATCTGGCGCCGCCATTGGGATTCTTGGGACTTTGGTCTATCCAGTTTTGAGACATCGCATTGGGTTAGAGAGAACGGGTCTGATTGCCATGACACTACAGATTGCCTGTCTGTTCTTGTGTGTTTTGTCCGTTTGGTCACCTGGAAGTCCATTTGACCCCTTTTTCTTCTTACACCATGATTCCCCCTCCAATGTGACTAGTGACAACTGTACGTCGCCATTATACTTGACAACAGCATCCAGAAACATTTCCGGACATTCTGATGTGACAGTCGACAACTGTACTTCCTTGACTAACTTGACGGCTTCAGGATCTTCTGGTGCCATGACAACAACAACCCCTTTGGTGCTGAAGTCTTACGTTTCCATTGCTCTTCTGATAACGGGGATCATCACAGCTAGATTTGGTGAGATTTAAAACTGGTATTCTCAGGTCATGATTATATGACGAAACCGTTAAGAGGTTAAGATCACGTGACGAGCAGTATGTTTTTGGCTAAAACTTCCATCAGTCCATGGGCTGAGGCAATGTTATTATCCGTTTTACACCAAACCAATCCTCATTTCTCAGCAAACTAAGCACTGTCTGAAAGGATGTTATTTCTCAAACACATTTTCTGGAATTTCCCAAGATTAATAAATCGTATGTCTCTTACAGACAGTCCTGCGCCACATGCTACAATTTGAGTGAGTGAGTGAATTATACTTTTACGCCGCTTTTAGCAATATTCCAGCAATATCACGGCGAGGGATACCAGAAATAGGCTTCACACATTGTACCCATGTGGGAAATCAAACCCGAGTCTTAGGCGTAACGACCCGTGAAGGTCTGGGTTAGAATATTGGTCTTCAGTAACCCATGCTTGTCGTAAGAAGCGACTAACGGGATTATTGAAAGAGACTGGGTTGTAGAAATATGCGGAGACGACAACAACAGGCTTGCAGGTGAAGAAAACCGGATGTTGTTTTCCGGACAAATCCAAACATTGTTTATCATCTTGAAAAAAGCTTGTCCACGTGAACAAGATTGATCATTAAAAGTTGAATAGTGTTCCGGCAACTAGGTGTAAATGGGCCTAGTTGCCCGAACACCTAGTAAACTTTTAATGATCAGTCTTGTTCACGTAACCCGCGTATTTTTCACGTTATGGAAGTTCCCCACTGATTTCTAAGGTTATCATCATCGGTGTAAAGACTCCCGAGTATGATACACGGTCCCCGAGCATCACTCCCTTTATCCCTTAAGAAAATCACTCCCTTTATCCACTTCGACGTAAAATGACATTATCCGGTACAGTTCACTGGTCTCTTCGACAGTTTTTCGGAATTGTCGATGAACAGAAATAACAATGCTGAATTGTTCACTCTTTTTTTAAATATTCTTTTAAAAAATATGAAATAGTAGGGGCGTTGGAGTAGCCTGGTGGTTAAAGCGCCCACTTGTTGGATTCCCTACATGGGTACAATGTGTGAACCCGTGAAGATCCGGGTTAGAATTTGTCTTCAGTAACCCACGTGTGGTCAGGCTCGCTGACATATGCATGGCAGACACATGTCATCGGTTCCCAGTTGCGTAGGTCGATGGTTATGATGTTGAGTCTGGTCAAGACTGGATCATTTACAGACCGCCGCCATATAGCTGGAATATTGCTGAGTGCTCACTCGCAATATGTGAAGCCCATTTCTGGTGTCCCCCGCCAAGATATTGTTGGAATATTGCTAAAAGCAGCGTAAGAGCATATTCGGTCGCTATAAAGTAGGAAGAAAGAAACCTACATTTTTTTCTGGACAAATATTATTGTAAACCCCACTTCAACATTATCTCGTTTGTTGGCCTCCAGATATGACCGCTACGCTGCGGAGGATGGACCTGGCCGCCCAGATCCTCGCCCCCATTGCTTCGGGGGAGATTGTGTACTTCTTCAAGGTCAGGAACGGGGCTTTAATCATGGCAGCCTGGAACGTAGTCTCGATGTTCATCGAGTACTATCTTCTGTGGAAGGTCTACAATCAGGTTCCAGCTTTACAGAAGGAGAAATACTGGCAAAAAGGTAAGGATGCATTTTACCGGGTCTCTTACTTACCTTACTTCTACAAAATGGGTGTGTGACGGGTGCTGCAGTCATTGCAAGACATGCTTACCCTTTTCGCGAACACACGATGTCTCCACTGAAATCCTTTTGTTCAATTTTTACCGTTTTTGAAAATGATATACTCTTGGAATGTATTACACTCCAGGTCGTGTACACATTACCTCTACCTTTCGCGTGCTACATATTTACGAAAGTTGGATTCAAACACATCTCTGATTTGTGTGATTTCTGCCTAGTGCTTTGAATGTCAAAGTGAAGAAAATCAGTCAAACGCTGGTAACTACGTCCAGACAATCCAGTGATTAACATCATGAGCATCGATCTACGCGATTGAGATACGATGACATGTGTCATCCAAGTGAGTGAGCTTGACCACCAAATCCTGATGTCACGCGAATCAAAGGAAGACCAAATTTAATCCGAATCTTCACGGGTACTTTATTGGTAAAATAACATTACGCAGCTTCTTATGAAAACAAAAATGAATATTGAAACTGTTTTCTCATTTTCCTACTTTAGATGATACAACTGACAAGTCCAGTCACAAACCATCACTGGATGCTCTCAAAACAGGAGAGAAATTCAAAACCTGTGCTGGGAAGAACAGTGAGTATATAGCGCTGACAGAATCGGGATACCCAGTAACAACTACCCTCATTGAAAACAAGGAACAGGGAACCGTCAACGAAACCAAGAACAACACAAAGCAAGGAACCAGCTGTGGGTGTTTCCGGATCTTATGCTCGCCCGTCGTCATAATCTACACTGGCTGGAAGACGTTCATGCAGTACGACGTTGCCAACGCCGGTCTTGGTCTAGCGATGATGTACCTGACGGTCTTGGGGTTTGACAGCGTCACCAGTGGCTATGCGTTTACCCAAGGAATATCTGAAGGACTGCTTGGTCTTGCAATGGGATCTGGCGCCGCCATTGGGATTCTTGGGACTTTGGTCTATCCAGTTTTGAGACATCGCATTGGGTTAGAGAGAACGGGTCTGATTGCCATGACACTACAGATTGCCTGTCTGTTCTTGTGTGTTTTGTCCGTTTGGTCACCTGGAAGTCCATTTGACCCCTTTTTCTTCTTACACCATGATTCCCCCCTCCAATGTGACTAGTGACAACTGTACGTCGCCATTATACTTGACAACAGCATCCAGAAACATTTCCGGACATTCTGATGTGACAGTCGACAACTGTACTTCCTTGACTAACTTGACGGCTTCAGGATCTTCTGGTGCCATGACAACAACAACCCCTTTGGTGCTGAAGTCTTACGTTTCCATTGCTCTTCTGATAACGGGGATCATCACAGCTAGATTTGGTGAGATTTAAAACTGGTATTCTCAGGTCATGATTATATGACGAAACCGTTAAGAGGTTAAGATCACGTGACGAGCAGTATGTTTTTGGCTAAAACTTCCATCAGTCCATGGGCTGAGGCAATGTTATTATCCGTTTTACACCAAACCAATCCTCATTTCTCAGCAAACTAAGCACTGTCTGAAAGGATGTTATTTCTCAAACACATTTTCTGGAATGTCCCAAGATTAATAAATCGTATGTCTCTTACAGACAGTCCTGCGCCACATGCTACAATTTGAGTGAGTGAGTGAATTATACTTTTACGCCGCTTTTAGCAATATTCCAGCAATATCACGGCGAGGGATACCAGAAATAGGCTTCACACATTGTACCCATGTGGGGAATCAAACCCGAGTCTTAGGCGTAACGACCCGTGAAGGTCTGGGTTAGAATATTGGTCTTCAGTAACCCATGCTTGTCGTAAGAAGCGACTAACGGGATCGGGTGGTCAGACTCGCTGACTTGGTTGACACATGTCATCGGTTCCCAATTGCGCAGATTGATGCTCATGCTGCTGATCACTGGATTGTCTGGTCCAGACTCGATTATTTACAGAGCGCCGCCATAAAGCTGGAATATTGCTGTGTGCGGCGTAAAACTAAACTCACTCACTCACTTAGGCGAAACGAGCAAACCCTTTTACCACAAGGCTACCCTACCGCCCCGATACATTTTGAGTATCTGACACGCCTCATGAATCGGGTCGAAACCAATTACGGCATCTTCGGAGATAACAGTTCGATGGTGTAGCATTACAGTATAATGTCAAAAGCTCCGGTTTGATTCCCACAAGCACATTTCTGGATATATTTAGACATTGTTTGAATCCCATTTCTGGGACATTGTTTATACTAGATATAGAGTAAAAATCTGAAATCAAATCATTTGTAAAGCATATAAAAACAAGTATCACGAAGAATGATTATATTTTTAATAAAGTTAACATTTCTTTCCAAAACGTAAAAATACTAATCGTATTCCGTAAACTACCGAGAGTTAATGAGCATAGTTGCTATACCTTGACCCGACGTCATGGTGGACAGTTTGACTTGCAGTCGTTCGCTAAACCAGTACAGTGCTCAGTAGCTAACTAGCGTTCGCCTTGTCATCACCACCAGACAAGAACACCCATGAAAATGTTTAACTATTGCACAGTAACCTTACACATATTCTACTTATAAATAGTAGATGTAGGAGTGTTTTAATGTAAACAACACATTCAACTCTACCCTCACGTTTCTTAATATAATGAGTACTTATCTAGTAAACTATGTTTTTTGGAGACAGTTATTCTTATGTGATATGCGCAAGGTTACGTAGATTAAAGCTTACCATTGTTGCATTGTCGCTTGTGATGTCTTAAAACGCCAAACAATAAGCATAGGAGTGCAGCTTAATTGGTTTCTATACAAATCAATGTGATGTACTTACTGTACCTGTATATTGTTTACCGTCTAGTGATGGTTGGTTCAGTAATAACTGCCGTTTAAACACTTGTAAGATGTACATCATTGATCACTAGAGTGATAAATTGATTTATCTCCTCTATAGCTGGTACACAATACAAGCACGATCGGGAGGTGGGGTAGCCTAGTGGCTAAAGCGTTCGTTCGTCATGCCGAAGACCCGGGTTCGATTCCCTACATGGTTATGATGTGTGATGCCCATTTCTGGTGTCCCCCGCCGTGATGTTGCTGGAATATTGTTAAAAGCGGAGTAAAACTATGCTCACTCACTCACTCATAACATTTGTTGTCCTAATGACACTCTTGTGTTCCAGGATTGTGGATTGCAGACCTGTCAATCACTCAGCTGTTTCTTGAACACGTGGCAGAAAGTGAACGCGGGGTCGTGAATGGAGTTCAAACGTCGCTGAACAGAATGATGGACATGTTGAAATTTGCCTTGGTGGTAGCCCTGCCCAAGACGGACGAGTTTGGATATCTGGTGATAATATCGTTTGTGTGTATATGTATCGGGGACGTGTTGTATATGACCTATACAAGGTCAGCCAGAGGTCACCTGCTTCCGTGCCATTCTAAGTGTGGAAGATCTGAAGATTAGCCTTGAGGAACTGATCTGTGCTGGACACAAGATTAGGAATGCACACATGCACATTAGAATGTTGTATTTTGTTCCTAAAATGTTAAATTATGTTATTGATTTGTTCAGAGTGCAAACTGTTTAAGATAAGGTATTTTGTTTATTTTTGTGTTCGCTGCTTAACTTCGCACTCAGCAATATTCACGCTACATGGCGGCGGTCTGAAAATAATCGGGTCTGGACCAGACAATCCAGTAATCAACATAATGAGCATTTATCTACGCAATTCTTATACGATATGTGTCTACCGAGTCTGGCCACCCGATCCGTTTGTCGCCTCTTACGACAAGCATGGGTTGCTGGAGGCCAGGCTCAACCCGGAAGTTCACGGCTGAATCCTCCAGCAATGTACCAGCGGTCAGTTAAGTTATCAAGTGAAAACGAACCAGTGATTGCAGTATCCATCGCCATCGTGAAACAATGACACATCACCCACACGCCATGGAGCCTCATCCCCGAGTCCTACATCTGGACCAAAACTTAAATTGACGAGAAATGATCACATCAGTTTAAATGTTCTGTTGTTCATGTCAATAAAAACGTCTACATGTACTTGACTTTCGGAGTTTTCTATTTCAGTGTTTTTAACTTTAGATGGATCTATAGCCAGTGAGGCACACGCTAATTACCACTCACGTGTGATTGTTTGTATACAGTCGGATCATCCGACCGGCTGTGTTGATTCTCGGATTAACGAATGTTTTTACAATGTATTTACAATAATCAGTTGCTAGATTGCTGTGTCGGAGTCGGAATGCGAGAATGTCGGATTAACGAGAGTAATTATCACTGTTTTAAATGGTTCCGTAATTTTTTTGTCGAATTAACGTGATTTTCGGATTAATGATTGTCGGATTAATGAGTGTCGGATTAACGAGAGTTGACTGTATATGCGTAGGCGATAGGCGACTTGAATGATAGTATCAATTATCAGATTCCAAAAGATAAGGATTAGGTTTGTTTAGTATCTAGTCATTGATTCTCTCATTCCAGAGCCTAAGCATATACAGATCCATCTTACGTGGGATTTACGACAGAACACTCAAGCCACCAGACCACCCCATTACTCATGAGTACGTCAACATCAGTTTGCAATTTTGTTTTGAAGTAGAAACAAAAGGGTGTTAACAATTGGTTCGTGTACATACGTCAGTCTGATAACGTCCACACAAATACCTTTTGTGTAGGTCCTTCCCGTGTTCCACAATAAGCGATTGATTATCTCGGAATGTAAATCTAAAGAATTCAGACAAGCACTTGACGCCTTATAACTGCTTTTCACTACCCTGAGAATCGAAGGAAAGAGTGGGTCTTTCTTTCAAAGCGCAGTCACAGCACAATGCTCCCGCTGTATGACCCTTTGTAGTTTGTTATTGTTATGTGTTGTTTTACGCCGCACTCAGCAATATACCAGCTGCACGACGGCGGTCTGTAAATAATCGAGTCTGTACCAGGCAATCCAGTGATAATCAGAATGAGTATAGATCTACGCAATTAGGAACCGATGACATGTGTCAGCGAGGCTGACCGTCCGATCCAGTTTGACGCCTCTTACGACAAGCATGGGTTGCTGAAGATCAGTTCTAACCCGGACCTTCACGGGTGGTCCTTTATAGACTTAAGGCCAAACTGTACGAACGTCAATTTCCATAACATTCATACAAAGTGTGGCCCTTCCTCTATCAAGGTTCTTTCCTAATACAGTTAGGTGACACAAAATGAATGCCAGGTTTTAACAGTCAGTTCCTCACTCCATTATGCATTACGTGAATGTAAAGATATTTGGCAGTAGTGAAAGTTGGTAATATTTTCCTGAATTTGATTTGAAAACAGATGTTTAGCGAATAATAATAAGCAAATGACCTTTTCGCCTTGCAGAGTGAGACTTCAGAAGGTAAATAATGTGTGGTGTGTGTGAGGTGATGATGATTTTTATGGAGAAGCATGTACAATGTGAATGACCCTCCCCCCCTCCTAAAATTTATGTACAATTTATGCTGCATGTCATGTACAAATTCAATGACCCCCCTTTCCCATAATTGTTCAGCATAATTTCTTATTGTATTTATATATGTATAAAATTAGTGAATGGAACAATAAAGAATTCAGTGTTTTTCACACTGGACATTGTACAACTAAGGCAGCCATTTGCCTAAATCCCCCCTTACAGTCCTCCTTCCAACCCCCTGTCCTGTTTCATCATAACGGTATAAGGATCTCTACCCGAAACGTCGCATTATAATGGAACGGACAAACTGAAACATGAGTCTCATTAACCTATTCAGACAATGACCTACTTTTCAGGCGATCCGAAATTTCTCGTGTGAAAGTGAAAAAAGACACTACAAACAACTATGGTTACACTTAATTCAAATTCCTTGTTTCCTAAGAAATAGTATTTACAAGTTAATTTTAATCTTAAACTTTAATAACATCGTATTTCTATATTTTATGGCGAGGTGTAGGCAGCATTACCTTAAAGGTCACATAAACCCTAGGGGGTACAAATACATAAATCACTAACTGGCATCGTTATAAATGAAACCCCGTCATTAAAACTACTCATTTCGACCTTTAATTGACTTAAATCGACCTTTTTGACAACAGTGCACAATTCTCACCCGCGAACGAAATTTCAACCAATCAGAGCGGCGCGTCTCTGTGACGTCATATGAGGAATAGCTTTGAGGGCTGATGCAGAATTCATCTACATTTTAGGGGGTAAATTATCTTGTTTACAGGCTTGTATAAACCTGAAATCGTGACAATTGTTGTGGAAAATGAAAGCTATATGTTCTCACAATCTACTGTCATTTAATTTTGTCTCCTGCTTTGCCTAGTTTCCGAGTTACAACTTGTTTTCATAGACGATTCTGTCAAAATCGATTGGTGTCGTTAGGCCCTATTTGTATAATGACTGATCTAAATTGATCCCATTTCTGTGTTTTTTACCTCGATATTTAATCATGTCATGTAAAAATCTGTTTGTATTCTCAAAACAGTGTCGGCCCATAAGTTTTCACATGCAATACAGCAATTAATACTCCCTTGTTGTAACCCGTGTTAGGTGGTATAAACCTACACATGTTATTTGTCATCATTCACTTGATGGTCAGTTAATGAATTTATAACAGGTATAATTAGTGGTAACACACTTAGATTACCCGACAAAGGTTCCCATTTGGCATTTCTTGTGTCTGGAGTAAATATTCAACATTATAAACATCGATCAAAGGATTAACCGATAACACGCTGATTGATTAATTACTTTTATCTTACACAGCGGAATTGTCAAAGGTAGTGTTTATGTATGTAGATTTACTAATCTGTACTGAATACACTCTGTCGTGTCGGTGTCTGCGTCAAAACAACGTGCTCCGTTCAAAGGATTAACCGGCAATACATTGATTGATTGCCCATTATTGGCTAACTAAATTACTGTTTTTAAAGAAAGGCGGACATTATGCAATTAGTTGCCAGGTGTGCTATCTTGGGTGACCAATGAGACTATACACCAATACCTGAAAAGATTGATCACTTTTTCGTATATTAAACTGTTAAAAGACACATCATTTGGAACAGTTTTGTGGATATTGATGGATACATTCCTCGAACAAGGTAATGGCCTGATATTGTTCCTATAACTTTAATCTGTTTTAATTTTAATATTTGCATTTTGTTTTTATTCATTTGTCGTAGCATTCAACAGAATCATTGTTTTCGCCGTGAATTGTAATGAGACAGACAACATACACTAGGTTGTGTGCGCGGATTGTGATTCACATTGGCAAACTATAAAATGTCTAGCTATTACAGTTCTGTTATAAATTCACTATAAGTATCAGCAGATCGTCTGCTTTTTATTTAGTTTCAAAATGCATACAAGTATGATCACAAACTAATTAGGATTATAAGGCAAAATATAAAGACGCACACTGACTAGTATCTACATACTGGTGAGTGGACATTAACCATGTGAATGTAGCAAGAAATTTATCGCGCAGTATTGTAACTTCGACCCCCACCTCGCTTCCGTGGAAGAAATCGTTATGTTATAAGTTGTGTCATGCAAAATCCGTTTGGTTATGATTCCAATACATATTTAACTACGAGTAGAAAGTAGTTTTGATTTTCTAACTTGATGAAAACAAACTATAATCTCATTAATTCTAACAGACTTTACGATTTTCAAAATGGTGGCACCCTGTCGGGAACATCCGCCAGTCTGAGGATAAATGCTATTTAGATTTGTTTTCACCGAGTTACAAAATCAAAACTACTTTCTACTGGTAGTAAAATATTTATTTTATTGATAGGATAGGATTTTGCATGATATATATATAACATAACAATTTCTCCTGGCAGCGAGGTGGGTGTCAATATAATACTACTTACAATATTATTGTTACTTCGACCACAACCTCACTTCCGAGGAAGAAATCGTTATGTTACAAGTTGTGTCATGGAAAATCTTTATGGTCATCAATCATATACATATTTTACTACAACTAGTAAATAGTTTTGATTCTTTAACTTCCGTGAAGCGATCTGAACACAAGTAAGATATCGTTTCAGGCTTCCACAACGCTCGCTTCGCACTCACAAACATAACCCATTTAGCACGAACTGCGGGGTCCTGTGGAAATCTGTGCATGGTGACACCATCGCATGGTGACACACACCCTAGGAGCAATTGACGACAAAGCAACGACATGTCGTCGTTGATGTCGAGAAATCATCAAAATGATGAGCATGCTACACACTTTCTATACAACTAACTGAAAATCATTCCTCATATGACGTCACTGCAGTGCTCTGGCGACAGAGTTACGTAACCTGTCTGTGGTTTCGTTGGCGGGCGAGAGAGAAGCAGGCGACTTTTTGGCCACTTTTAATCGCTCGGTATTAATTAACCACAAGTTTTTAAAGAATAAATTTGGTGTTCCGCATAAGACTAACCACAAATCTTTCATATGTAATGGTTAAAAGAGTAACAAAAAACAAAGTTTAGTGGTTCTTTAACTAAGACGTCACAGACTGCCCCAGTTTGATGAGGTCGTAAAATGATTCACAATTCATCTGGCTTATTGGTTACACCCGTTATGCGTTCTTTGGGCTTATTTAGTGTAGTATTGTAACGCACAATGTGATTGATCTAATATCAAATCCGTACCAGACCGCCAAACTTTTCTAGCGGCAGAGCCTCGTTTTGAGATTTCCACGATTTCCAGATTTCCGTCTGTCAGAGCACTCTGTACGACAGAGCACGCTGCACGATGTGTTTGTAAGGATTAGAAGGAGCGTAGTGTTGCAATATACAATTCAAGTGCTTAGATGTATCAAATAATACCGATTAATATTTATGTATCCAGTTGAATTAATTGGTCCCAAAACTCTGGACTGGTTATTGTACTATGTTACGCAATAGGACGAAACCCAGTCAGCAGGAAACGAGACTGTTGTGCAATCAATGTTTCATCTATACAATATCTCGCCTGTAATGTTGCGTTACTCAATATTCAGAATGGATACCTGCTTGAGAACAATCACAAAAACATACGATAATTGTTTTCCATAAATGTATTTATAGTGAAAACAGTTATATTTCCTGCCAGTAAGCGTAATAATGAAATTGTTTAAATGAAGCGCAATGAGACTTGTTATAGATGCATTAGTTTTCTGTGATAGGCGACAGCTACACCAACATATCATTATTCACAGCTGAGATCATCACAATTAGCATTGATATGTTGTTAGTCACGAAACAATATAGAATTCAAGGAGACAAGTATCAGTGTTTTTCACTAGACATTGTACAACTAAGGCAGCCATTTGTCTAAATCATGTCGAATGAAAAAGATTTGCGGAAAGTGTCGGAAGAGACGGGACTCGTGACAGGTAGGCAAAGTGTTTATTCATCATTCTTAAACTATATTCAAGATAAACTATATCCAAGAACCAATGTAACATATTCTCGGATTATGATTTCCTTTGTGTCATTACCCTCTAGTTACATTGCACGGGGTATTACTTCTTAAAAATGCATTGAAGGGTCTTGACGTTTGCACTTTTACAGTGAGTGAGTGAGTTGGGTTTTACGCCGCTTTTAGCAATATTCCAGCAATATCACGGAAATATCACCAGAAATGGGCTTCACACATTGTACCCATGTAGGGAATTGAGCCCAGGCCTTCGGCGTGACGAGCGAAGCTTTAACCACAAGGCTACCCCACCGCCCCTATTATACAGTATATACAAGGCGTCAGTGTAAAAGAATACCAAGTCTTTACTATCTTCAGAAACAAGTTTTTTGTTCTGAATGAAACGTTGCTGAGAACACTACGTGAATCGAACACCGAGACAAATGGTCCGGAATGAACGTTATGAATGACCAAAGACAGTTGTGTTCCATTGATTACACGCTGTGAAGCTCAAGATGGTCATATCTCAGACTAAACAACCCGCTTTATACATTGAAGGATGTAAGTCACCAAATCGGATACAACAAAGTCGTATACGATCAAACTGTATATGGCACAGTCGGCTGTAACGAAATCGGAGATGACATATTCTTAAACGCCAAAGTTGATATGAATCATTTTTATTACAATTTGATGTTTTTCAATGTTTATCAAAACTCCCATGATCGCCTTTGAAGAATTTATGAGAACTTGCGTTTAATCTGTGTTAAGATATACCCATAAGTGTTTTGAAAACTTAATTCATTATCTGAAATACAAAGAACATATTAAAGTATTTTAAGGTAGAAATGTAGGTCACTGGAATGTTATACACTGATACTTTGAATAATTATACATTGGAACATTGTAAACTAAATATACTCATGCCAATAATGGTTGTCACCCCCCTCCCCACCCCAACCCCCCAACCTCCACACACCCCACACCCCTCTCGAATAAAAAAAATTGAAGGGCGTGACAACCATTATTGGCATGAGTACATATTGAAAAATATACATAAGAGGAAACTACACTAATAATGCACACGCTTATAACGAACTGACGGTTATAACGAACTGACGGTTTTAACGAACTGACGGTTATAACAAACTGGCGGTTATAACGAACTGCTCCTTTGGACCCAGTCACATGGTTTTTATGTTTATCTAAATGCGTATGATGAACTACGGTCAAAACGAACTAAAATTAGTGGCCTCTCTGAGTTCGTTATAACCGTAATTTACTTATATGTTGAATACACATAACGTCGGACTTTCTTCAATAAGGACTTAGTGTACTCAGTTCGTGTATGTCAGTTCGTGTATTCCCATCGCCATCCCCTACATCCGGAATTCGGGGCGGTGGGGTAGCCTAGTGGTTAAAGCGTTCGCTCGTCACGCCAAAGACCCGTGTTCGATTCCCAATATGGGTATAATGTGTGAAGCCCATTTCTGGTGACCCCCACCGTGATATTGTTGGAATATTGCTAAAAGCGGTATCAAGCTAAACACACCCAACCACTACATCCTGTATTCACTGCATCGTTGCTACCCATGTATGTTTCTTCTTGAAGGCCGCGTGAAAAGCGTCCTGACCAGCACCAGTTTCCTGGTATATTTCAGCCACTTTCTGTCTACATGGGTAAGATGTGTGCCTGCGTACGTGTGCGTGCGTGCGTGTCTACTGTGGGAAATAAATACTGGAACGGTTATCGTGAATATATGTCACGAATATAGTGACCACATAACACATATAACGATTTGACGGGTATAACAAAGTGCTGGCCCTGTCCACATGCTGTGTATTGTAGTCTAAATGCTTATAACGAACTACGGTTATACCGAATTACGGTTATAACGAACCACGGTAACGAACTACGGTTATTACGAACTAAAATTAGTGGTCCCTTTAAGTTCGTTATAATCGTAGCTTACTATGTTTGCAAATATATTCATTTAAGTTTTAAAGCCAAGCTATATTGGGGAATGGTCTTCCTGAATCGAACGCATGTATACACTGGTTAAATGAAAATGGTCTCATAGCATCAGTGTCATGTCTTTGTAACCAGGGCGACCAGATGTGGTGGTTCGGTACTGGTTTGTTTCTCATCGAGCTGTCGCCGAACTCCCTGCAGCTCACCGCTTCGTACGGCTTGTCAACAGGCCTGTCCATCCTGCTGCTAGGTGCCCTGATCGGAGATTGGGTGGACAAGACGGCAAGGCTGAAAGGTCAGTATGACCCAGGTCGGAATGACCCAGCTAACACAGTGATGACTTTGTAATGAATGCGGTAAACACCTCCCTTTTTGATTTCTGAAACTCATTTGACGAGAGCCTCTGCGCAGTGGCCAGTCCCGCCAAAGGTAATTATAAAATTGAACAAGCTATTTTCATGGATGCATAAAAAGGAAGGTTAAACCAAAAACAAAATGGGTCAGCAAGTTTCATGTTTTTTATATACTTATATTTTGGCATGGTACAAACACAACGGCATATATACAAGTTTCAATACACCTAGTTTATATAATTAAAATATTGTAACAACTTTTCAGTGTTTTTCATGCTTAACATAGAAAAGGCACAATGACAGTTGTGTTGAAATCTGATAGTGATGTGTCATTTCTAGGCTGCATTTTTTGGCTCTAATGGCACTGTCCCAAGTTAATGCAGTGACCTTGGTCGAATTAGCTCGTCACGATGGGGTAGCCTAGTGGTTAAAGCGCTCGTTCGTCACGCCAACCACCATGGTTCGATTTTCCACATGGGCACAGTTTGTGAAGACCATTTCTGGTGTCCCCCGCCGTGGAATATTGCTAAAAGCGGCGTAAAACCATACTCACCTACTCATCGAGGTTCATCACCTTGCTATTGTGTCTACCGTTCCAGCTGCTCAGGTGTCCCTCGTTCTCCAGAACCTGTTCGTTGCCCTGTGTGCTATAGCAGTGTGTGTCCACCTGTCCTACATTGACCAGATCACCACTTTATGGAACGGTTGGCTCAAACAACTATCTTTCGTTACAATCATTCTCTTCGCCATCCTCGCAGACCTTAGCAGCACAGCCCGTATGATTGTGATTGAAAGGGACTGGATTGTGGAAATATGTGGCAACGACGTGGACAGGTTAGCAGGTGAGATTTAAACTCATTCTACTCAACTTTTGTTAAGGATAGGCTGATCACGTTTAATACATGGAGGGTCTGCAGAGCCCTGGTTCGAATCCCTGTTTTATAACCACGGGTCTGTAAGCTCCCTTGTTGGGTAGCGAAGATGTTAAAGCGTACGCTTGTCACGCCGAAAGCCCGTTTCAGTTCCTTACATTTGTGCAATGTGTAGAGCCCATTTCTGGTGCCAACAACATGTTTAGAAGAGTCACAGCCATATGTATCAATTTCTGTAAAAAATATTATTTTTGTGGTAACGATCTTGTGTTGGTGATGTGGAGGGTACACGATCACAATCTTCATAAATATTTCATGATATGGGATTTTATCATTTTAACTGCGACTTAGATATAAATAACAAGGAAATAAAAAAATATGATAATGTCACGGATGAAATAACTTCTAATGACTGAACAAAACGTTGGGTGATGACTAATTGTACACATTTGAAAGGTAAATAGATTGAAAGTGGGGGAAAAAGTAAGATCTGAATGGGAAACGAGATTAAAAATGAAAGAGGAATGGAAATAACAATTAGATTCAGGTGGAATGGGAATTTAAAAGTAATTCCTGGTAAATAAATGTGAAAACGTATATATAATTCACGGTGTAGGTATCATTAGCTGGTAAATGGCATGTACACGTGTATCCTTGGTTCTATCAGAAATGACAGCAACCATGAGACGGATTGACCTTGGTGCGACGATACTGGCCCCGGTGGTGACGGGGGAAATCATGTACTTCACCCAGTTGAGGAACGGCGCCATCTTCATGGCCTCCTGGAACCTTAGCACCGTGTTCTTGGAGTACTACCTGCTGTGGAAGGTGTACGTCACGGTGCCGGCACTACAGAAGGCCAAAATCAGAAGCAAAGGTTCATCTTTATATCTATTTATTTGCTTTCGTTTCCTTTTCAAAACAAACACCTGCAGCTGTTCGAGGTGATGAGATTTTCTCTTTTAAACGAGAAAGGGAAACTGTGCCATCTTTGTTATATATACCAGCTATGTTTAGGAGATTTCAGATGCGGAAATATGTTTCTTATTGATCATGGTCGATGAACTTGGTGGGAGATATTGGGTTATAGGCTTGTTAGGTTATGAGGGCTGTTTTGTGATAAATGTTAAAGTAGTTCCATAAAATACTCATCACAACAACTTTGGTAAAGATTGATGAAAACCCAAATACTCTTTCACGGGACATTTTGGATGCCTTGAAAAAAGTTCATAGACTTGATGCAGTGACCGAAAATTATGCTGTTTCCGAAAAAGGCCCCGGTAGAGAATCCCAGAATATATTACAACGACTAACCTTAACTGCCCGTATTGTATCATTATTAAATAAACGCCACAGCCACCTAGCTTTCATATCTGTTTAAGGTGTGGACAATGATGCAGAAAAGGGTTACTCTACTGGGAAAGATTCGGAGATGGTGCCATTAGCAGATCTATCGAAGCCTATGCAAAATGGCACGGTCGTTCGTGAAGGACTGCTGGACAAAGAACCTAAGCAAAATGGCACTATTGGACTCTTGGAGAAAGAACCTAATGGCACGGCTGTTCAGTGTGAACTTAAGAGACAAGGACAGGAAGAGGTTGAAGAGACATCCTCGTGTCTTTGGGGTGCGTTTGGTCCTTTCATCACCCTCTACACTGGGTGGAGGACGTTCATGCAGTATGACGTTGCGAGCGCCGGACTTGGGTTGGCCATGTTGTATCTGACAGTGCTGGGGTTCGACAATATCACAACGGGTAAGTCGCGACATCGTGTTCCTCGGGAGCGGTGGGGTAGCCTAGTGGTTAAAGTGTTGCTCGTTTGCTCGTCGGGTTCGATTCCCCACATGGGTACAATGTGTGAAGCCCTTTTCTGGTGTACCCCGCCGTCATATTGATGGAATATTGCTAAAAGCGGCGTAAAACTAAACTCACTCACTTATATTCCTCAGCAGAACGCTAATTGACGATTACCTGTAAATAAGTAAGCCTGGACCAGACAATCCAGTGAGTCACCATAAGCATCGATCTAATCAATTCGTATGCAATGCATGACGAAGGGTGACCACCTGGTCTTGTCAGTTACACCACACAAAATGACTGTATTACTCAAATTTACTAACGTCAGGAAATACTCGTTTCATCCGGCGGCCATATGAACAACGTTTGAAATCTACGTATCATCTGGCCGTCAGATTTACACACGTTTAAAGGGGTGTTAAAATAAACGAACAGTCGGCTCTGCATTTACATGTATTTCAAAGGTGTGTAAATCTGGCCATTGTTTCCATGTGTTTCCTAACATGTGTAACAGATGTAAATGCTGTGATTGTAGGACATGCATTTCAATACCCTTGAAATCTCGTATGACCAGGGTTAGGTTTGTCATATATTTTGTACATGCGTAAATGGTTGGAAATGAGTAAGTATAGTGTTACAAGATTAGCACTACTTTAACATGTATTTCAATGGTGCTGTAATGTAACTGTCACATAGGGTTCGTTAGCGCGTCCGACCGCGCCATGATGTACTGAGATAATTAGAAACACATGTTGAAGTGATACCCATGACTGAGCACCACTAATAACGTGCGTGTCTTTCTTGACATACACATGGTGTCTGTTTAAAAGGTTCAAATATCGGGTCTATGGGCCAGAGCGATATGTATGTTAGGGAGTGTGTGTGTGCGAGGGAGAGGGTGTGGCAGTGGTCGGTGTTTGGGTACTGATAAGTCTTTCTGACCAATAGGTAATATCATTTATACATTTTGTAATGGAATTTACATAACAGTTTAAATATCTGACCTTAGGTACACTTCTTATATATGCTATACAAGGAGACACTGCTAATTACAATAAAACACAGACGAATGTGTTCACACAGACATGAACCGGTAGGTCCTTAATTTTAGTGCTCACTTGTATGAGTTATCCGACTGATCATAACTGAACAAATTTCATTATCTATACTTTCATAAAAGATGATTACAATGTTTTAATGATTCCCGGTGTAAATTACTGTTGTAAATGTGTGAACATGCACATATTTGGTATGACCTCTTTTTGAATCGGAATACAGGTATTATTCCATACGGACGTTTTCTCAAATTTCAGTTACCCGACGGAATATACTGTAGACATATTTTGTTTCCACCTCTTGGGTAGACTAAAGAAAATTGTAGTGATTGCAATTAGCTCATAATTTTCATTTAAGACCTATTTTGTTTCCATCTGTTGGGCAGACAATAGGAAATTGTAGTGATTGCAATTAGCTCATAACTAAGCAGTTTCGATAATTGTTGAAAGCTTACTACCTGACAGCATTATGTTGCTCATGCGTTTTCTTTCTTGCTTTTGCTTATTGCTGTCTAATTTGTTATACATTATATAATTATGTTAATCATTTTGGCATCTCAATATCATGGGAATATAATATGTACTTATTAATCTATCAAAGTACCGAAACGTATTATCTGTATGCTTTACTGTTATTGGGTGAAACTGTTAAAAGTACCTTCGTACAGAATTTCGTGGAAAGAGAAACAGAATCAGTGGAAAACTAAATTGGATAAAGATCGCAAACAATCATTATTTATATTCCACTTTTTAAATTATCAGTGTGCAGATCATGTCACTAACATACAAACTGAAGGATATATGGTGACAAAGCTGGGTTCAATCTTGAATGTATAATAAATGTACCAACAGTATCAAGGAATGATGGGGTACGCTCGTGGTTAAAGCGTTCGCCTGTCAGGTCAAAAACCGGAGTTTGATTCCCGACAAAGGCACATTAAGACTGGAAATATATTATTTTGATAAAAGGCAAAGATCTTAATTTCAATTGAAAACAAGAGACGAAGTAATTTGGAAGATTCACAGACTAACAACATCTATATTGGGGCTACAGGTGCAGGAAGCATCTTCAATTATAAAATCACATTCCACAAATATCAGATAAAGGTTTAAATGACAAGCATATTTATTGGTATCTTGCCAAGCTCTGTCCTCTCTCAATGCAGTATAACCAGAGTGCTGTGGTCACATCCTCCGGTGGCCAAATTCAGCAATCCCATTACTTTACAGTATTTTCTTACAGGCATATATATGGAAAGTTAACTTTTACGGGTATGGACAGAGTGGGGGGAAACACGTGCAAAGTATTAGTACGCTGAAATTATCCTTCAAAAACATCATATGTACAACAATCACTTATCATTATGGCATTACAAAAAGGCCATATTTCCAGACAGCATAACATCACCTTTGGCTGGAGTTCCAAATAATTTGACACCGAAAGCCTGTCAGTTAACGCAAAGGAAATAACCCTTGTGTTTTAAAGTGATAGTCACAATGAAGTGTAGGTTGCCATGCATTTTATATTCAGTCTCACAGTCCCTGAACCACATTATTTTCCTTACTGTTTAGTCTGTCTCACAGTCCCTGAACCACATTATTTCCCCTACTGCCAAGCCCTCTGTGCAATGCTAAAGCCTTAAATAAAGCAAGTCTAGATCTCCTCAGGTCCAGGGTCTGTTAACATCTGCAAGAACCCTAACTCACTTTGGGGGTCGGGTTACAAAGTAAACAAATCTATAGCTAACTGCCATGGCTCGCCGGACTGAATCTCGTGTCTCCCTGTGGCTCAATTTAAATGGGCTTGTTTGTTTCTATCAAAATTATATATATTCAGACACTAAGCGTTAGTCTATGTATTTTCCGATATGATGGAAATACTAATATTGACCAGATAAAATTCTAAAGGAGCCTTTCTTCAAGCAGTGACTTAACGCCATACATAGCTAGAATTGCTTAGATGATAGACTTCATATAAGGCATCACAGATATTTCACAAACATGGTACAGGACCCTTAGCCTCATTAGCTTATTGCCTCACCACTTGCGAATTAAGCGTTGGCAGATGTAAATGTTACTGGAGATGTTGGTCCCGCCAGCTGTGGGTGTTTGGTATGGCTCTCCATAACCCGAACCCTGCAGTGAGTTTTCCTAGAGACGGAAAGGGAGAAAATATCGTTCTGTGACTATGGAAATCCAAAATGTGGACAACACACCATTGTTTGGGTCTTTTAATTGTAAATATGATTCAAATAGCTTAACCTAGATTTCGATATCCTCCGAATGCACATTTGGTTGAAAATATACATTTATCCCGAGCCAAGGACGAATGTTTATATATAATTAAAAATGTAACAGCACTAGTATCCATTTTGTCTTTTGTCTTCTACCCGTCAGAACTAGATTAACAACTAGTCTCTGATATGAACATATTTTACAGAAAAAAAATTGATAGTAAAAAAAGAATATTATATAAGGAAAAGGAGCCCTGAGACTTTCTCCTGAAGCTGTGAAAATCTAGACTTGCCACATTTTGTAGACTTGCGTGGGCTTGGATATATTTGCTTCAGGGTCTGTATGACAGACGACGTCCCAACACACGCTCAGTCACATGTGTCTCCAGGTCACGGAGAATCAGTGGTTAGAGGCCCGTATTGCAATTCTCGTGCGTTTGCCAGGCACGTAGCAAGCCAATTTTTTCGTGTAAGCCCTATGGGCTGCAAAGCGTTATATTTAGGTGGTATTGAGGGCTTGCCCAACTTTCATTTTTTATGAGACCTGAAGAGTTATCGTTTGACGTTTGATGATTTCAATAGCTTCAAAATATTGTGGAAAGACTTCCGCCTGTATCCCCCCTTAAATTTCATTCTAGTCAAATCATATCACCTGAATATATATTCCTCATCCGATAAGGATGAGTTTTAACGTGTTTTGTTTATTTAATCTGAACATACTGATAGACATATAAATGCCACTCAAAGAAAGTTTTCCTCATCGTTAAAATTTAAGGGGGTGGTGTGTGTGTGTGTGTGTGTGTGTGTGTGTGTGTGTGTGTGTGTGTGTGTGTGTGTGTGTGTGTGTGTGTGTGTGTGTGTGTGTACGGACGGAAGTCTTACCACCATGGAAATTCGAGTGTGATTTCCTCTTATACAAATATGTTTGGACATATTTTATACATGTCAGCTGCATTGATACAATACCATACATCGAGCATTTTTGGTGTTTTTTTCTAAAATAATTGATAAACAAATGATAAATAAACAACTGCATTTCAGTGATGATTCACATATAATCATGACTGTAACGAAACATCCTCATACATGACGATGGAAAAACAATCATCACTGAAAGTTATGATATGAATAATAACCTGTTTACTGTAAATGGTAATGCTTTAATCAAAGAATATTGTAGTCAGTATGATACATAGAGGGATTTCCACTTTTTAAATGGAACGTGTGTGTAGGTATTTTTGGCAAGAATTAGAAGAAAAATTATTTTTTAGTAAAGATCATGTGTATGCTCGAACTGTTTTTTTATAATGGTAACTACGCCCCTGTTTGCATGTGTTGTTGACGCGGCATGGACTCCTTGTAACATCACTATTTGATTATGATTCACAAACACATGCCCATGATATGGTCGGAATCGTGCCACGGATTAGCAGATACTTATCATGAAAACAGGTTTTTATGTAGGTGGCTTGAAACTCGCTTTTACAAAGGCCTATAGGTTCGATCACAATACATTTCGTTTTACAGCTTCTCCTTTCTTAAAATGCTCACGTCAAAACTGATTTAAATTCTAATCACAGATTAAAGAATAACACAATAAATAGTATGCCAAATTATCGTTACCATGACAACCCTGTGATATTTCACCTTATGTAAAAGAGTAATGCAG